ACTTTTCCAGATCTTACTATAGTCTTTTAACAGACTTAAGGCAATTACTGGAGTGTTCATAACCTTTTGTGGAGAGGACTTCCACCAGTCGTCCCAGGAAAAGTATGACAACTCTTGTGGTCAGGGCTCCAATGGGCTGGATGCTGTGATGAACCCTTTACCATTGTTCAAATGTTGCCCAAACCCCCTCTGACTCGCTTTGCCTCAGCATTCCCTAACCCGGCAACCGAGTTTTAGTCAATCAAGTTTAAATAGGCCTCCCATAGTGGGACCGGGAAATGTACAGCTCAAGATGCCTATTAAACTTAGAGGTGGGAGGGAGTCCTTTGTAAATCCAGATTAGAACTGGTCTGATAAATGCTGATCTGGGTGTGTGTAAATGTGGGTTGATTAGCATTTGGAGCACAGGTTCCCCATCATGCAGTGCTCCTCTGCTTCTCTGATTCCAGAATTCACTGCAGTCTTTGCTTCGGGCTTTCTGTTCTCCATCTTCCATGTAAATGAGTTGCTATCTGGTTCCATCTCGGATGCAAGTGAGACCTAGGGCAGTTGTTTCACTCTTGTCACCCTTATCTGGAGGGTTTTAGGTGTGTCTCCCACTGCATCTTAATCAGTTTGGGGAGGGGGAATTCTTTGTGAGTCAGACAGGCTGCGTCCTGTGCCAGGGTTCCCCAACAACATGAAGCTGGGAGGTAACAAGAGATCGCCCCGCGAATAAGGAAATCTACAAATATTGTACTGTGTTGTCTGCATTGAAAACTTGTTCAGGCTTGTGGGGGATAATCCCGTGCTGCTTCATGGTCTGCTGATGCCGATTCCCCCATCAACTTCACATTATGTAGGTTGTGCCTCTTTTTAAATTTCTTGAACCACCCCTTACTTGCGGAGCGCAGTAACAAAGTGTCATCACACTACGCAGGGAGAGAGCATGGGTTGGTGAGGCACACTGAGAATATTTGAAACAACAAATTGCAAATCCACGAATAACGAGAGTTCCCTATATTTGTCTCTATTTTAGATGGGCTGCTTTGCTATAAGCCAAAATGCTGTTGCAGCAGCCCTCTTCTCACCACAGTACATAAATAAATTGCTTTGAATTCAATGTGAGCTATTTTATCTTGTTGGATGAGATCCCAAACTCTTTTCACTCTCCTATAACCTTGCAAAGACAGCAGAGCTAATAGGTAAAAATACTAGAAATGTGATCTGAATAGTAAGAAGAAAGCAGATGGGACCACACATGCATGAGACTTTTGTGTGCAACTGAAATCACAGATATGACTCAGACCTGACTGGTGTGGAATTCCCATACCCCAGTCATGAGGCACAGTCTGTTTCCTGAGCTGGCTAGAGTATGGAGAAGAGATGGATTTAGTCTGCTTCCTTGATCTGCTCATTCATTCCTGTAGGCTTCAGGGGAAGGATAGCAAGGCCATGGCTTTGCCACTTCCTTGTCCCCTTTGGAGCCAGGTATTCTCTTGTGGGTGCTTTGTGGAAACATCCCATACCCCCTACTGAGTGCAGGGACTGTATCTGTAATCACACCATCCATGGGCTGTGTGATTGTAGGAAAAGGCTCTTAATGATCTTCTGTTCCACAGGTGTTGCATCCATTCAGTAAGCAAGTGTCATTGCCTAGAACAAGGATTAGCAACCTAAGGCCAGTGGGCCAAATCGTGCCTGTGAAGACATTTGGTTCCGGCCCACAGAGCAAGGGTCTCTGGGGTTTTGCAGATGGGGCTTTGTCTGTGATGCAGTTGGGCAGCTGAGCATTTTGCTCGTGGCTTGCTGTGACTGGGCAGTGGAGAGGAGTGTTGGTGGGGAGAAGTGGTGGCAGTAGTATCCAGACCCTAGCACTGGCTTGCCTTGGACCTGAGCTACGTCATTCTAGCCCACTGCCAGAATAGGTTGTCGACCCTTGGTTTAGAACATCCCTTTTCTGATCCAAGTCACCTTTGCCGATTTTTTTTTTTTTAATATTTATTTATTTTTCTTAATATCACATCATCTCTGACTTATGATGTATATTAAATTAAATGTTTCCTTTTTATCTCATTTTATAACAAAGTGGAAAATATTTCAAAATTTCACAAACACCCTACCCCTTGCTGAAAATTATTAATGTGAGCTACAGGCATTCCTAGCTGCCATTTGGAAAGCTTCAGTCATGCTCAGGCATCTATAAATGATTTCCCATAAGAAATGTATAGTTCTTCCTGATGCATTTCATTTCCATGGAAGGCATATATTTCTGAGTAACAAGACTGGCCACTGCATGTCACTGTTGCATTTGAAACACACACGGAATTATTCAGGTAATTCACAAAATTTGCTTCTGAACAAGCCAGTTTAATGAGGTTGTGGAATACAGTGATAACCTGATCTCCTTTGACAATATAACTAGTTGGCTGGATACAGGGAATACAATGGCTATAGTATGTCTGGATTTCAGCAAGGCTTTTGGCGAAGTCCTACATGATGTTTTCACAAATTGGAGAAATGCGGGATAGACAAAACTATTATAAGGTAGATAGAAAATTGCCTCAATAGCAAAGGGTAATTATAACTGAATCTCTGTCAGAATGGCAGGAAGTTTTGAGTGGAGTCTCACAGGGGTCTGTCCTGTGAACCCAGTCCTGTTCAATGTGTTTAATTATTTGGATGCTGGTATTGAGAACTTCTTGGGCAAATTTGCAGCTGGCCTGAAATTGGGTAGGACTGTGAACATACTGTAGGATGGGATCACAATTTAGAAGGATCTTGACGTATTGGAAAGTTGAGCTGGACCTAACAGGATGAAGTTTAATGCTGACAAATACAAGATGCTACACCTCAGGGGGAAAATAATCCAAAACACAAATATGGGTGACACCTGGGTAAATAGCAGCACTATGGAGAAGGATCTGGGAGTCTTGTTGGTCATGGACTCAGTGGGTCTGCAGTGTGATGCAGTTGCACAAAAAGCAAATGTTGTTTTGGATTGCATCTGTAAGAGCATTACGTGAAAGGCATCAGATATGATAGCAACTCTTTTCTCAGCACTGGTTAAGCCTCATCTAGAGTGTGTTAGACAGTTTTGGCCTCCGCATTTTAAAAAGGACAT